GAATTAGTCATTGTCATAACAGTGACAAGCGGAAAATGTGCACATCCTTTCGTAAGTTACCGGCCCTATGAAGCGATGCTCTTCTTTTGATTAGCGACCTGTTGGTTAGCTTGTTTCCTGTGCGTCTGCGCAACTGCCTCCTACGTAGGCGTAGCGCCTTGTCACGCTTAACTTTCGTAATTCCCTTCTACAATTGTTTTGAAGAATGGTAAAATAGTATATACTATGTGAATTTAACACGAACTTATATTTTTGTTCTGTATTATATTATTATTTTGTGTTGTTATTTTGTATAACAATTTAGTTTTGTATTATATCACTAACATTTTCGAAATGAATTCCGTGATGGTAGCAGATATCGTGTGGTAATCCATAATATTGTAAAAACGCGAAGAGTTCTTACGTTTCCCCCGGAACACTGGGAGCAATGGAAAGATCCTCACTCCTGGAAAATCTTACCTTTGATATTATCTGAAATTTGATGGATATAATAAAAGTATAAATTTTGCTCGATAGAAATTAGAACGTAGAAAAAGTTTTAAATTTTTGCAAAATTCAAAATTCAGGTTTTTCGACGAAAATGAGACGTGTACCATTTGCATAAAAGTCCTTCATACTATCGATGAACAAAATTTGTAAAAAATGTTGGAGCTATTTTTTTAATGTCCCAGGGGAGTAATGTAAAGAAAAAGGCATAGCTAATTTTGCAAATAATTGAACATTCATCAACTTTTATAATTTATTTAAAAAATATATTACATAACTAGTATAAAAAGTTAATTAAAAATTAACGAGGTGGGATTAATTATTCACGAGCGTGGTGAAATATACGCTCTTTCCTATTAATTCACCCCAAAGAAAGGTTGTAATCGATTATATTCGAAGTACACCGCCAAAATTCAAATAATTTGGCCGCTTGTGTGCCAACAGTTATTCTATTTGCTTTTATCAAAACTACTTAGATAGTGAAACCGTAGGAGGCGTTGAAAAATGTAAAACTGACGTATTTTATCCAAGATTGTTATGGAATGGGTGTTTAGGTAATTGATAGGAATTTAATGAATTTGCTTGTTAGGAGGAAAGGTTTGTTTGTAATTTAGATGGGTTTACAATAGTTTTCTGTGCCCCACAAATTGAAATGATTGAGTGATACTCGTAATTAGGTCAACGAGTTTCCTCAGTTTTTCCAGTAATGAAAGTTTCCTTTTGATGAAGGTTTTAAATATTATAAAATACTCCGTGTAATGCAGATCCATAACTTAATTAGTTGGGCCAGCTCGAGAAACTTTTATTCGGCTCCCATTAATAAATGGGTATGGTAAACACAAGTAGTGTTGTACCTGAAATAATAAAAATATCCTTAACAAATTCGAATTCATCTGTCTATGATTAACGTCCAATAGCGTAAAAATCTGCCTTTAGTATTTAATTTTATGAAATTAATACTCTTATAAAACCTAAATTAATTGGCTACCTTTATTAATTTAGAAACACGGGTACATAAGCTCCCGAAGCAGAAAAAAATAGTTCTTCTAAATTTTTTTTTAATCTTTTATTGTATCAACTATGGAAACGTATCAGAAAAAGTATGAAGTAATTAATATTTCTTACAATCGCAAAACCTTCGGCATTGGGAGCCTTGCGGGCCCGACCGTTACGCCATTGGTGTAATGTCATTGAAGCGCGGTGATGGCGATTAGGAAATATTGCTAAAATAATAGAAATGTAGGAGTTACAATATTCTAACGAAAACATTACGTAACCGTTGCAAAAACGAGAATGTATGTGCTACTCTGTACCACTACTACTACTTTTACTTCCTTTAGAACGGTTGGCCTGTTCTAAGACTCGAAGTGTGTTATCACCTCATTCTAGGTCTACTCGCATCCCTGTAAGACTTACGGAATGACACAGACTTTCTAGTATTCTTTTTTTATCTTCTTTGGTCTGGGCTGGTATTCGGTCTTGCTATTCGGAAGTGCGATATATCTCTCCAACCAAAGTATATATA